TAACTTGGTTCGAGAGAATTCTATGATTCCACACCATTTCATTTCAAGCATTCTATATGTTCCAACAAAGTGTCATTAAAAATACATCAAGCTCCTTCATCAAACTGACTATTACTATATCCACTCGGTGAAACATTTAGAGTTGACTGACCTGATTCCCCCCACCATATTCCAGCAACGACGGGCAATTCCACAGCTAACGAAGATGCATGTGAAAGAGATTTCTTTCAGGCAGTGCACAATTGACATATAGGGAACATGAAACGTGTTTAATTTGACAATCAGATTATCAACCGTGGGCAGACTATTCATACATGCTTTCCAAAAGAAATATTTATTTTTCGGAGGAACTTTGAAATTCCACAATTTAGTCCATGTGGGGTGATCGGATTAAGTGTGATCACCCACTAGGTACCTAATACCTATAGCAACTCTTGACCGTAAATTTCACAATTCCAGAGATTTCATCACAAGGTTTGCTTGAAGCTATGGGAATTTGCATTATAAATGTACCTATAGCTTGATTATCTTACTTATTCTTACTCAAAATTTTAATTGTATAATTGTGAGAAAATAGTCAATTCAATCTCTAATAAGCCGATCGACACCATAGATGACCAAAATATGAAGACATGTATAATTAAAAGAACTAATTAAATTCATTATTTATTTACAATTAGCCAATCAAAAATGTTGTTTTCCTTATAAGCAAATTGATTCCTTGAAACTTTTTTATTGTGTCATAGTACCGAGGTATTACTAATATGGTTTACGATTATATTCATATATATATAGGCTACCACTTTACGTTTTTTTTTTTTTTTTGGTAGGACCACTTTACGTCTTTAAGTATGCAAATTCAATTCTTAATCTCTTCAAATATTTTAAAAGTAACACTACATATTTTTTTATTGCAAAATTTAATGTAAACATTTAATTACAAATAATAATTAACAAGAAAATTTTTATTTTATTTTTTATTTTTTTTGAAAGAAAAATTTTATAATGTCAAAAAACAATTTAGTTATACATATCGTAATTAGTATGGTGCAAAATTGCATTATAAAAATTTTATTCGATATTATCTAAAATGGAGGAGAGAATAAGGTACATAGCATATAAGAATGAAAAATATGTTAGGCCATAATTAATGAAAGCTTTACGAATATACGGTATGTAGTGACATTCCCTAGGAATTTGGGAAATTATCTGTGCAGTCCCCCATACTTTTATACATTGAAATTCTTCCCCCATTAACTTTTTGCTGATAATTTCACAAATGAAATGGCATCAACCATGAAACACAATCTGGTATTGGACATTGTCAAATTTTTATGCTATAAATGAACAATACCATAAAAATGGTTTTGGCACCTACACGGATTTTGGCAATGATGCTTTTTTCATATTTTCCCCTTTTTTGAATTTTTCATTTGCCAAAAGTAAAAAAAGTTTTGTTATTACCCCACTCAAGTTAGTCGAATAGTTAGTTTGGTACCACACGATTTCATGTTTGATTCCATGTGGAAATTGCCTTGACATTTTTAATTTGAGCGCTACATAGAGCTTGAGTTTATTTCCACAATATAAATAAAAATAATTATTCATTTCAATATAATATTATTTCTATAACTTATAATATTTATAATCATTTATAATAATATAATTATAATAATAATAATTATTATTATTATTTCTTAAATTATTTAACTATAATTATTTTAAAGCATATGTGTCAAATAGCCCAAATTTATCACCCGCAAGTGCTCAATTAACCCCTTATTCTAAAATAAAATCTAATTGACCATATTTTAAAATTGTGTTCGCATAGCATTTTCTCCAGGTTTCCATCAGGTAACCCTTGCATAATGCTGACGTGAAATTTAAATAAAACTAATTTGATAACTTGTTTCATTGTTGACTCATTCAAACCTAAGAGAAAATCACTACTCTCTATCTCCTCATCCCCACCACTGTCATTACGGCTGTCGATCTGAAAACAAAACCAATAGCTTCTCTGCACTACCATTCAGGCTTTCCATTGTGTGATCGTGAAAGGTTGGTGAGTGATAGCACTATCAACACTTTGCATATCCAAAATGAACAAAATAGATGCGCTCATTGACTGCCTAGCTAGTTCAAAGTTTCCTAGCAAAAATGGTTTCAAACACCTCATAGATTATAGGACATTTTAGAGTTGGTGCACACCCAACCGAGGTAGCTGAAGCAAACAAGAGAAATGAAACTCCATATTGTGACAAGGAGGAGCGCAAGGCGATGAATAAGTTCTACATCTGAGCAGCGAGGAGTTTTAAGAGGGACACGAGTGAGCTCTACAGCAAAGCATGAAAGGACATGGTAATAGGCATATAAATATCATACAACCATAGAAATTTTCAGCAACCCTATGCTAAAGATATTGTGGGATTACTTGGGCATACAAGTAACAAGTGGGAGGCATGAAACAATTTTTAGTTTTCAGATTGGCAGCCGCGATGATGGTGGTGAGGATGAAGAGGGAGAGTGTAGTGGTTTTGTCTGGGTTTGAATAAGTCAACAATGAAACAAGTCATCAAATTATTTGTATTTAAATTCCATGACAACATGGAAGGATTACCTGGTGGAAACATGGAGAAAATGCTAAACGAACATAATTTTAAAAGCAAATGAGACCAATTAGATATTATTTTAAAACAATAGATTAATTGATCACGTACTTGCAAATAGTAGATGGAGCTATTTAACACTCTACCTCATTTTAATGTGTACAAAGATAATAATTTGTTAATAACTTCACGGTGTCATTAATATTATGCCATACTTTGAATCTCTTACCTAAATTTTAATGTTTAAAATCTAGTCATGGCTCTTATGTGGCACTTATTCTGTGCGACGAAGATGGCAATGAAAAAACGCATCTTTTGAACTATGATATGCAGTTCAGCTCGATTGGCAGGCTACCCACTAAAAAATCGGTCAAAGACATAAGATCGGATGTTTATTTTCAGTCGAAAATATTGTCAATAGACAAAAGAATATAGATAAAGTCTCATGTGGTGTGCAAGACTTTTTAACCAGAAATAGTATTTTCTACGTTTGATCATATCATTAAAAAAAAAATACTAATATTATTCATTTTATTTGTCATTATTACTTAACATTTTACGTTTAGTAAAATCTTTAATTTTTTTTATAACTACACTAACATTTATCTATTCATTAATTTCTAACAATCTTTTATATATATATATATATATATATATATATATATATATATATATATATATATATAGAGAGAGAGAGAGAGAGAGAGAGAGAGAGGAGAATTTAGGTAAGAAAATGCTTTCACATAAAAAGTGAGTATTGATATGATCCATCAATCTTAGTTGATTAGCAGGTAATGATAGCTAGAATACCAGGGAAAAAAATTATGAGATTCTTTTTATAAATATTGAAATTTTAGTTTTCAATAATTATTAATTTGATATATGTAAAAAAAATAAAAATTATTAATTTGATCCGATATTTTTATTACAAAAATATGTAATCATTGATAAATCTTGATAGATGACTAAGATTAATGCTCACTTTTTATATATAGAAATGTTTTCATTTGATTATCTCCCTATTTATATAAGTTAAATCATTATGCTTAGTAAAATTTATATTATACTTTTAAAGAGAATCTCACGAAACTAATCATATTGAATATAAATATGTCTAATCTCTTTTATTATACCATATATTATTTGTACTAATACTTAATAATATTCTACAATAAATATGTATATGACAAATTAGAAATGCGTAATTAAGTAAGTATATGTTTTTAAAACTAAAGTGATGGATTTTTGAATTAAATTTGTGACTATTGAAATACAAAAATATACTTACTTATAGGGGTGTATTAGATCATGATTTTTAATTTTTATATGTTTTTAAAACTTTAAAGTGATGTATTTTAAATGATTTTCGTAAATTTTTTCCAAATTTTCATAGAATATTTGAAACTTAGGCTATTCTCATCCTAGTAAGTGAAAACTTTTCAATATGATGTGAAAGGTAATATCGATTTTTATTTTCTTTTTGTTTTATTTTGTTAGCTTATATGTGGCTTGCAAGCTTGCTATCTGCAAGCCTTTTAAATTTTTTATTTGTTATTTTATTATTATTTCAGGAATGTAAAGAAAATAATGAAAAATTTTAAAAATTAATTGTCACAAAAATATAGTGTGTTATAAGTAAAGACAATAGCTATCAATTTTACTAAATGATTACATAAAATAAAAAACTCAATTATATATAAAATTTTATTATTATTGCAAACAACAATTCGATTTTGTTGCGATTTGCTGCAACATAAATTGTTGTTGTAAACATCACAACAATTTTTTTTTTTGCTACGAACCGCAGTAAAATTTTGTTGATGTTCACAACAACAATTTTAAATAATTTTTTTTTTTGTATAAATATGGGTAAAATAAAAAGATAAAAATAAAAATATAATATGTATGAAATTTATGAAACATACCGTAAAATTTGACATGAAAAAATGTCTGTAGAGAATGTTGAAAAGTTTGGAGTTGGAATGTTGGATTTCAACTATTTATATTTGTGAAGGACAAGTCTACAAGAATCCTAATTTAGTAAAGTCGATGAAAGTTAATAAGTTTTTGAATATCAATAAATTTTAGGGTCTTTAAAGTAATTAAAGTTTTATAAAAATCTTGAATACATTACTTTAGTTTTTAAAAGGAAATAATTTAAGCAAATTTTTTTTATAAGGTATTTGTGTTGGAACACAAATTAGTCTAACATATATATGAAAAATATCAAAAAAAAAGAAGAAGAAGAGGAAGATGGTGGAGTGGTAATTACGTAAAATATGGGGAAATTGTGAGATTAATTGGAAATGAAAAATTAATTTTTGTTTCAATATAGTCCCCTTCCCTCTTCCCCTTTCTCTTTCCCTGTCACACACAAACACGTTTTGTTTCTATTTCCTTTCTCTCTCTACTTTACATTTTTATGTTTTTTTTTACAGTATTTTCTCTCTCTACCACGACCCCTCTGCTTCTACTACTTCTTTACGTTCCTCCTGGCTCGTTTTCTCTCTCTCTCTCTCTCTCTCTGTCTTTCTTGTGACTCTCTCTATTCTCTCTGTTTTCTAAGGATTCGTCTTCTCTCAATAATCCCGATACCCTCCGTCCCTCTCTCTATTTCAGAGTGTTTTGCTTTAGAGAGAGAAAGGGTTGGCGGATTATATAAGGAAAGGGAAGGAAAAGAAAGAAAAGCCGCCGGATATGCTCCCGGAGGTGAAACCCTGGGTTGTCAACTGCAATACCCATTTTCGTTTCCGGGGGTAGTTGATATTGCGCTGCCATTTACGCCGCCGCGAGCCACCGCTGGTACTATTGCTTCCATAGCGAGAGTAGATAAAGGTTGTTGTTTTGTTTCTGGGATTGATGATGTTAACGACGGATGATATGCCCACCACGAAGAAGGGAGATGGCGAGGAGGAGGAGGAGAGAGGGAAGGTTCTAGATGTTACTACCGCCAGTACGATGTCGAGTTCTGTTATTATTATTCCTCGGAGCAAATCTCAGGCCGCCTCCCGGAGAGTCACTCCGACTACTGGTGCCATCACCGTTGCTACTGTGGAGGCCGTGGTAGAAAAGCACCTCCCCAACGGGGATCTGTATATCGGGGACTTCTCCGGCAACGCGCCTCACGGATCCGGGAAGTATCTTTGGACGGATGGGTGCATGTACGAAGGGGAGTGGAAGCGAGGGAAGGCCTCCGGGAAAGGGAAATTTTCGTGGCCGTCGGGGGCCACCTTCCAGGGGGAATTCAAGTCGGGTCGGATGGAGGGTACCGGCACCTTCATAGGCTCCGACGGGGACATGTACAAAGGCGCCTGGTCTGCGGATCGGAAACACGGGTTTGGGCAGAAAAACTACAGCAATGGCGACTACTATGAAGGGCATTGGAAGAGGAATTTACAGGACGGGCAAGGGAGGTATATGTGGAAGAACGGGAACGAGTACGCCGGCGAATGGAAGACCGGAATGATTCACGGCCGGGGAGTTTTGATTTGGGCAAATGGGAACCGTTACGACGGGAATTGGGAAACCGGCGTCCCCAAAGGCCACGGCGTTTTCACTTGGCCGGACGGGAGCTGCTACATTGGCTGCTGGAGTAAAGACAACAAAACCCAGCACCCAAACAGTCAGGTCTTGAATGGTACTTTTTACCCTGCCCAGAACTCCAGGCCAGTTAAGAAAGACAATCTCGACATTAATTTCAAAGAAGAGGGTTTAGGCGGCGGGTTATTCGGCCCCAAGCTTGCCGCGCCATTAATGGCGGAAGAGAGTTGCGGAGCAGTTATGGGGAAGAAGAGGACTTCAATGGACGGCGGCAGATTGACTTCGTCGGAGAAGATTTTCCCCAGGATTTGCATATGGGAGTCCGACGGCGAAGCCGGCGATATAACCTGCGATATAATTGACACCGCCGAGGCCTCCATGATTTACCGCGACGGATCACCGATGGACGGGTACGGAACCCGCCCCTTCAGAAGCCACCCGTGTTGCTTTAATGGCGAAGTAAAGAAGCCGGGGCAGACCATATCGAAAGGCCACAAGAATTATGATTTGATGCTTAATCTCCAGTTGGGCATCAGGTAATGTTTCTTCGATTTCTGAAATGTTGTATCTTTAATGTTTTCCTTTTAACTCATTTTCACGTTTCTTGGTAACATTTGTTTAGGTATTCTGTCGGAAAACATGCTTCTATATTGAGAGACCTTAAAGTCAACGATTTTGATCCCAAGGAGAAGTTCTGGACTAGGTTTCCTTCACAAGGCTCTAAGATCACCCCTCCCCACCAGACTGGGGAGTTCTGGTGGAAAGATTATTGCCCCTTGGTGTTTAGGTATTAATTTTCTTTCCAATTATATATAATTGTAGTTCATAGTGTAATTTAGTTGTAATTGTGATATATATCATATGATACCAGGCATTTGAGGGAGAAATTCCAGGTGGATCCTGCAGATTATATGCTGGCGATTTGTGGGAATGATGCACTAAGAGAGCTTTCATCTCCCGGGAAGAGCGGAAGTTTCTTTTATTTGACTCAGGACGATAGATTCATGATCAAAACTGTAAAAAAATCAGAAGTCAAGGTAAGTTGCCTACTTCTTTGACTTATTCTTGATGATCTTGATGACAGGGGTCCCCAGGTTCTTGCTGTTTCCTGGTGGATTGGATTTTATACATCTAGCTGTGAACTTGTTTATTATACTTTGACTTTGGTTTTGAAATTTTATTGTAATGTGTTTTCTCAGGTGCTTCTTAGAATGCTACATAGTTACTATCAGCATATTTGTCGATACGAAAATTCCCTCGTAACGAAGTTTTATGGCGTCCATTGTGTCAAACCGGTTGGGGGTGTGAAGGTATGTGATCGAGTTGGAAATGAAAATTTAGCTCCTTCTGTATAATTGTATTAGTGTAATTGATTTTAATTTATCGTATAATTTGATTGGTTTTAGACACGGTTTATTGTGATGGGCAACTTGTTCTGCTCGGAATACCGAATTCACAGACGGTTTGACCTGAAAGGCTCGTCTCATGGCCGCACAACGTGTAAACCCGAGGGAGAGATTGATGAAACCACCACCCTTAAAGACCTTGACCTCAATTATGTCTTTCGGCTCCAGCAAAACTGGTACCAAGAACTAATCAAGTTAGTATGCAACTATTGCCTTCTTCAGTTGGTAGTTCTTGGTTTTTATTATGATTGCGTTTGTCTAATTTTCTTGTTTTTGTCCAGACAAATCGAACGAGATTGTGAGTTTTTGGAGTCGGAGAGAATAATGGATTATAGCCTTCTTGTTGGCATCCACTTCCGTGAAGATAATGCTGGTGACAAAATGGGGTTGTCACCATTTCTATTGCGGACAGGTACTTATCCTCCCATCCATTAATTCTTTAACCAGATTGACTAGGCTTCCATTACGGGTAACAAGTATTGAAATGGATATGGTTTCTTTTCAGGAAAGAGCGATTCATATCAAAATGAAAAGTATATGCGTGGCTGTAGATTCCTCGAAGCCGAACTGCAGAACATGGACATGATTCTTGCTGGCCGGTATGTTTAGTTACTAACCCCAATCTAGTCAAAATTTTGGCTTTGTTGTCTTATTTCACTCCTGCCCGGACTAGTTATGTTCCTGATTTACGTGTTTGGATCTATTTTAGGAAACCCATGATCCGGTTAGGTGCAAACATGCCTGCTCGGGCAGAGCCACTGGCTCGAAAGAGTGATTTTGATCAGTACTCCTCCCCGGGTGGCTTCTATAGTTTGCCACCTTCCTATAGTGGCGAAACCAACGAGGTAATCCTATACTTTGGGATCATCGATATTCTACAAGACTACGATATCACCAAGAAATTGGAGCATGCATACAAATCCTTACAAGCCGATCCAACCTCCATCTCCGCTGTCGACCCAAAGCTCTACTCTAGAAGGTTTCGTGATTTCATCGGGAGAATCTTCATCGAAGACAGGTAACAAACAGACGAAAAGATTCTGAACTGAATCTCGATTCCACAATACCAGTCCATTGGTGATAACTGTTGTCAGGGCTGAATTTTGTTCCTCAGCCACTGATGGAAGACTAAGTTACTTGTAAATTCTTGGAGGGGGGGAAGAAGATTGAGTTATGAGTTTTTTTTTTTTTTTTTTTTTTTGGTGGTAAGCAAGGAAGGTGAAAGATAGGTATAGGGAAAGATGAGAAGAAGGTAATTCCCAGAATGATTGAATAATGAAATGTACAGGTGATAGGGAAAAGGTTGAACAGAGATTATGCAATGATGCAAATTTTTTGAACATTTGTTTATAAGAAAGTGAATGAATGAATGTTTTCTTGACTCATCTCTCTCTCTCTGTCACATGTACAAAACTGGGTTTTTGCTTTACATACTTTTATGATGCAGTTAAAGGACATTGGGGAAGATGAAGAGTTGTTTATCAATACATACATGAAAAGGGGAGAAAGCTTATTTATATCTGCTTTATTTAACTGCCCCATTCTCTCTTTTCACTGTTTAGCCCACTCTCCCTTTTTTTCTTTCCTTTTTTCATACATTTCAAGAAACACTGTAAATAATGATGCAGTTAAAAAAAAAAACAAGTTTTACTATTGTACAGAAAATATATATATATATATATTGTGGAAAGTCAAAACTATATTGTAAAATTTTGTTTGATTTGGAGCTGATTGTATTTGTGGTCCTCTCCCTGAGTTTCATCATCATTATCAAAGCACAATGAATGAAACCATCATCCTCCACGTGGCAAAGACCCAGAATGGGTGGCAGAGATGTGAATCCACAGGAATTGGAGGGGCAATCCTGTCATTACACACATAAGTCAATGTCAGAGGGCAGTAGTCCCCCTCTCGCCTACCTGGTTTAGGAGTGGTGGAGTGGGTCCCCTCCCCTCTATATAGCACAGTGTCTTCTCTTTTTGACCATCTTCTCTTTTGTTAGGATCTTATTGTGTCTGTATGCTGAGATACTAAGCATGGGTCTGTGTCACTCCCTGCTGGACCTCTCTCTTATAGATTATTAAATAAGACCTTAATTTTTGAAGCTCTTCTGGTTCAGTAGACAGTATTTGAGAGAAGAGATCAAAATTTAAAATTCGATAGACAGTGTATGATTATGTTCAAAGTGGACAGATCTTTCGTACGTACCAATATTTGGCCCGAGGAAAAGGAAACTTACTGCAAACAGTCAAATTCTTCTCCCAAAAGGATGATTCTCCAACTCTAAGGGCCCATATACTCCGGCTTGACAGAGCATTTGAGAGGATGTAAATCAGGGTGACTCAATGGGGTTCAGCGCACAGGGCCAAATACCGGTACGCACAATGAATCTGTCTACTTTAAACATAATTCTCACATTGCCGCCGTCAAAATTCAACCTTGGTCTCTTCTTTCAAATACTGCCCACTGAACCATTGAGCTAAGATCGTGCAGGCCAAACAGTAAGATTCTCATTCTGATTTACCATTCAGCCGATCTATCTTTTTACCAAAACAACCACACTTGACCGCAGCACAAGTCTAATCTAGAAAGAGGGTGGGTTTATTTTTTGCCAGTTGGAATTATTGGTTTTTGGTTTAGTGTTAGGGTTGATGGTTTAGTTGGGAATGTGGGTACCAAAAGATTGCCCTTTTAGTGACTGCCACACTGCTCGTGCAGGCCATGTGATTTCAACAACTCTCACCCCATTTACAATTAACAGTTAAATAATGTGTCGTTTACCAAATTAAAACAAGCAAGCTATACTAGGAGGTTAGATGTTGTTTTAATTTGCTATAATACATTCATTTATCTAATGTTTCTCACATTTAGCTCTCTCGTCTATTCATCTTCTTTGTTGTTTCTCACTAGGTTCACCCCTTTCAAGTTATGTGTTTAAATTTCACGGATAAAGTGTTAAGAGTTCGTTTTTATTTGATATAAGTAATTTGTTATTAGTTTATAGTCATATCCGACGAGGATGACTATAATTATATCATATCAAACAGAATTTAAATAGTTACCGAAGAATATTAGAATGATGGAAGGTGGTGTGTGTGGGATTGAGCAATTCTTCGCATGTGATATTACAACCAAACATTTGGTGAAATTGCATGCTTTTATTGGAGCATGAAACTGGCTTCTAAATTATAATTTTGCAGACAGTTAATATCAGATTTAGTTACCAACTTTGGTGTTTTTTTAAATTATAGTTATTTACAAATAAATTTCATCACTTTTGACCTTAACTTTAATGATTTTTACCATTATAAGCTTTTCGTGTTAATTTTAAGGTAAAAACTTGCGAGAGACAAGTCGGATCTTTGATTAATGAGCTAAACCTTTGACATCATTAATCAAAGATTTGACCTGTCTCACAGATTGAGACATGTGAGACGGTCTCACACAAGTGTTACCTTAATTTTAATTGTTTGATTAAGTTTAGTTATTTGACTTGGTCAAAAAGTTATACCCCAAGTGTTTGGTAATTACTCCGTAACTTTTTTCTAGTAGCGGTTAGAGTTAAAAAAAAAAAAAAAAAAAAAAAAAAACTTTTGAAATGTTTTTCTTAATAGCATTTCAAGTTACCATTTTGTAAAAATATATTTTTACTTTAAAAATATCCCTAAGCTTTAACTTTTTTTTGAGCTATTGTCGCCCCCACTAGAGCTCATACTCATAACTCCTCATTTAAGAAAGCCACTTCATGTCATTAGAGCACAAGTTCATTGGCAATAATTTATAAAAGTTGATTAAATAAAATATTAAATTTATTATATTACACCCGAATAAAACCTTTATCAAATTTAATTCTCTATCATATAATCAGTCTCTTGCCAAGTACATTGTGCTCAATTGGCATCTCTATGGCTCTCCTTAATGAAATGTCACATTATCGAATTCGGTGGTGAGGTATTGATTCTTTGAATTACAACTGATGAAAAAACTGTATTAAACAGATAATATTTTGTAATAAAGACGATAGTACTAAAATATATATATATATATATATATATATATATATATATATATATATATAATTAGTCTCTTGACATTAATTTCTTGTTTCTAACAAAAAAAAAAAACCGATTCCCAATCCCATTGAAATTAGGCATAATAAGTATCCAATAATTATACATAACATAAAAACTTTCAATTACAGGAATCTTAGGTGCCTAATTTTACTTTTGAAACTTGCGACTCCTAAAAGTCAGCACAAATCCACTGTTACGGCGTTTGGATAAGAATCTTTCTATTGTCTCATCACCAAATGTTTAGTAACATATAACATTGCATATATTATTATTCCTTTGATTTACCAAAAAGCTAAAAATGAGCTTTGAGCGAAAGTCGCCGTATAAGCTTAATCTAGATTGTCTATATCTGACTGATTCAAATTAAGAAAATCAATAAATAACTCACACGGGGAGTTAAACTTGAAATATTATGGTTACCAGACAAACGGTCTGATTAACTTAGCTGGGTTGTCGCAATATATCTTATTTACCAAACTAATTAAAAGAGATTCTGAGAGAACATAACTTCACAAAAAATTATAAGAATCTCTAAGTAATACATTTTGTGTCACGTTATACTCCATGATCGGAATGAAATCTTTTTTTTTTTTTTTTTTTTAAATCTATCAATATCACAAGACCACCAACACATGCCGATGTGAAAGTAGCAATAACTTTTTGTTATATGATTTTGTGTATAGAAAAGATTATTGGGGTTATGTGGTATCAGGTGTTTGATTTTGGGACCATACATGACAAAATGGGATTCCCAAAATAGGATTTTTGGCCTCTGAACCTGCGAAAGAAGATGAACACTGGGTGACAAAGGCAGATCAGAGAGATATGATCAACTCAAATCTGACCCCTCACCACAATATAATGCCATTCATTTCTATATATCCTCCATGAATCGTGCATGTTGCTCTCAACAATGGTGCACTTTAATTTTATGGATAATTTTAGCAAGCAGATCAGGTGCCTGCAGGATCAGAAAAATTATATTTAGCTGAATTTTTAAAAATAAAAAATAAGATTTTTTCTTTCATTCTTGAACGTGGAATATAATACGTGTATGGACATAACTTTTCGCTAAAACCTAATTTCATTTTGTCATTCAAAATCTTGATAAAGTGAGATGTATGTGCCCCGAAAAGGGTGATCGAGTGGATCATGTCTTGTATCAGAAGATCATAAGTTTGATTATTGCTAACACTTGATCTTTTTGGTCGAACCTATTGCACAAATGAATTTGCATTTCCTGTGTGATTTGCAAATCATTACACAAAAATGAAATTTACCAAGTGCATATATATGAGAATGGATATAAAGTTTTGAATTATGAGATGCATTGAGCACTTTCTATGGTGCATTGTACAAACCACATAGTTTTCATATGCTTTTGTCCCACCACATTAAGGAATAATAGCACATAAGAAAGCGAAATGACCATCTCATTGTTCGATATTAGTTCACACATCATGGCACATTTTTATAGGTTATAAAATGGTATATTTGTACATGCATGCATGTATTCGTAACACTACATTATTGAGGTCAACCCATCCACCTAATTCAGATAAAGGTTACCATATTATTAATGCCTGAAAAAAAAATCAAGAAATTCATACACAATGTAAATAATACATTATAAAAATTAGTAATCTAACAATATAAATATGTGATTCGATAAAATATCACACGTTTAAAGTAGTGCATTATTTGTGTGAAATAAATTTTACTTATCAAATATTTAGTATTTGGTGAACTAATTATCCGACAAGCCAGACACACGACATGTCAATTGCTACCCAACTTGCTGGAGCTACTGCTTACATCTCCCAGGGAGTGGTTACTAATAAGAAAATGTATATTATTATTATTATTATTATTATTATTATTAGACAAAATTAATGTTTGAACATGGTATAAAACCTAGGTAATCGTATAAACTAATAATATGATAATATTATTTTGGAGGTTGGACATGTTTACCACTATGATATCAACTCAAGATCGTGGCTTTTGATCATTTTCTTTGGATATCGTCTGGTCAACAATATATATTAATATAAATATACTAAGAATATTGTTTAGGAATTATATTCTTTATTTTTATCAGTTGTTAGTGGACAGCATTTAATTTGATACCTCGAGCCGTCTTCAATTTATTATTTTAGTCTATCGATAATATTGCTTCGTAATTTGGAAAAAATCCCTTTCAATAATTTGATTGAAGTGATGTTTTAAAATTATTACTAAAATATTTTAGATAATATATACGGAGTATCATTCTTGAAGGAGGAATACATTTATGGACGTAATTTTTCACT